AGACTCCTCGATCGTGACTCCTCGAAATCCTACGAATGACGAATTCGAATTTGCAACAAGCGCAACACTCGTTAGCGCAATGCCGTGAGCGCATCGGCTGCCATTCATTCTCAAAACAAACGCTCGCTGATTCGCTCGCGAGTCGCCGTGCGCACGATTCGTCGTGCGTATATATACGTACGCCACGCACGCTTCCCACAGCTCAGCGTCCCTCGCGAGGCACGCATGCTAATTCCTTATTGATGAGTGTCATTTGTTACCATCGGCCGTATGTATCTCTTTTTCTTCTCGTTCCTTGCCTCCCTCGGCGAACCGCTCATCACCTTCCAGCGATCGACGGCAGCCACCGAGGTTGCGTTACGGAAAAGCGCGCGGATGTGGCTAATTGTCCCTCGAGGGCCTCATTTTTTGGGGCCCCGATGGCGTCGGATCCGTCGGCGATTTGTTAAACGTCAGCGGGCCTCGAGAACGTCACGATCGATCGATCGATCGATGGCATCGTTAACTCGTGAACTCGTAACAGTGACTGGAACTCCCATACTAAATAATCAGTCGAAAAAAATTATGCAATTGAATTACGCCGAGCAAAAACAATCGTTTTCGATACGTCACACCGTCTTTCGGCCGCTGTGGGAATATCGATCGTGGATCTATGGCGAGGATTTCCATCCGCAGATCCGGCGAACGAGGAGAAAACGGTACATCTTGGCCCGAACAAGTACCGGCCATTCCGGACGATTGCACTTCGGATGCCCGAAGGCCGATCACGATTCGCGCGTGAGTTATACACAAGATCGGTAGATCACTACCGATGTAGATCACCATAGCCGGCGGCCATAGTCATAGTCGTATATATGTCGCTCACCCCGTTGCACGGCCGTTGCGATGCAACCACACTAGTAACCATGATGCAGTCCCTGGAATTGTGGGATGAAGTCTCGTTTGTTCTCTCCATCTTTAATTCCTCTAGATATAATTCGATTAATAGATAAGATGATGTATAATATATGCGTTTGTATTATATGCCCTCTCGTTTGATTTTATCGAACTTGACGTTTAATCGATCTTGAACTCGTATATTGTATTTATATAATAATCTTTTTACTGTATTTTACTGCTTTCAAATAGATTTTAATAATAAACAATTATTTTATTTATAATTATTTGATATCTGGATTGCGAAGAACATTTCGAAGAACAAAAGCTTTACTTTCGAACGATGTGACTTTGTAGTCGCGCGATGCGGATTCCACTTCGTGCTCGCTCGAGATGGTAGGAAAAAGGCTCTCGTTGTTTAGCACGTGGTGTGCCATTATCCTGCCATTTCGTCATTTTATTTCCGTGCTCCAATGGCTGGTCTGATGAGCCAATAAACTCAGATACGGCTGTCGGCGTAAAAATGTCGCTCGCTAACTCGTGTCTGCCAGGCCACCGAATAATCCGTGGTTCAACGACGATTCGTGCACGAAGTTTCGTTATTAAGTGAACGGCGTGGATAATCGCCGGTCGTAGGAAAGCTTAAGTACCTGCCAGAAGCAAGCCCTTTCTGGCGAGACTTCAAGAAAGTAGCGCAATTATGCCGACTCGACGAGAGACGTTTAATGCGTTCGGCGTGCCAGTCGTTTTCAGGAATAAACATTTTCTGGCTGTTATCCACGACTTTATGTTATCGTCAGAAGCGACTATCAAATAGCCGTAAAAAAAGGGTGCTAGAACACCCTTTAATGCCTTTAATGCAGTTTGTTTTCAGTGTTGTATTCTTTCGCATTCTCGTTTACCTTTTTCATTTTAAGTTCATTTAAGTTCATTTAAAATTTCGTACTCTCTATATTTTTTTCAATATTTTATCTTCTCGATGTTCATTACTTTTTAATATGCAGTAAAAAATATAAATATAAATTAATTGTTTTGCGCTTAGCAAATATAAATAGCAGCAAATTTATTTCTCTTAAATCCTAGCATGAGCATCAATTCAATTATTCGTAATAAGAACTTTATTAATATCCGCATTCTCAATGCCGCCTCGGAAAACATCTTCGCAACAGTTGCCAAGTCGTGATACTCGGTACATCCTCGGCTGCCAAATTATCCCGACGGGCTAAGTGGGTTAATTTATGCGTGTATTTTATAATCACGTGACCGCCCAAGAGATAGGCGAGAAGATAACGACAAATGACGGCACCCAAAGTGCAACTCGTCGCCGTGACGCGAGGGAAAAAAACGAAGCCTCGTTGTTGCGTACGCGCGACTTTATGGTCTTGCGACCTTAATTGCGCGCATTATCATCCCTCGGAATGGTAACGGCGTTGCGAACGACCGTAGGTGTCTGCAGCCCATAGAAACAGTCTCTCTATAAACACATCGCTTTTTTCCCTGCAACATTAAATGATAAAAAAAACTTTTCGCACGTTATTATTTTTTAGGTACCAAAGATCGTTCTTTTTCTTTCTTGTTTTAGAGCGGAATTACTGGAGGTGCAGATTATGCGAAGTTAATGAGAGTATTTCAGGGTATAAGAGGTTACGATGGCGATTTTTTTGTGAGAGGTGTTGAAATTCCTATGGCCTTTGAAATGGCTGAAATTATGCCTCCTCGCTGTGCGGTTAAAGCTATAAAAATATTCGGGAATGCGTTTGGGCATCTATTTATTATTTATTATTTATGACATACGTAATAAATAACAAATTAATAAATTGCCCGAGAGTTTTCTATATTTGACGAGATTATCACTGGGATATTTTTGAAATCGTAATATATTGCTCAAACGCGCAGGGAATAATATTTAAATCATCTTGCTTCCCACATAAACGTCCACCGCGTTATTCATGTACAGTTTGCATAACGTCCCAGCCGATATTTTCGGCAAAAGCGGTAATATTTCATCAGGCACTTACATCCATTCCGGTCCTTCCATCATCCGACAATAAAAGTCGCGCATTAAGCCAATTACTTTCACCTCGGATTTCGGCCGCGTCTTCCGGGGCAATCTTTCTTGCGTGCAACGAGAAGGATATCGTTTCCACCCCGATTACGCCGCGCCGCGGCACGTCCGCGTACGTCTCGCGTGTATCTCCGCCCGCTCGCAAAAAATCGCGAAGAGCATAAATATCCGCGCCAAGTATCTCTCGGCATTATTACAAGCGTGTCCGTATGCACGTGACATACGTGGCGTCGAGCGGAGTCGTCGTTCGCCGTTGTGCGCGCATGTTACTCGAACTCGTACTCGAACTTGCTGCTCTCGTCTCCGCGGGTTCTCCTCGGGACTCTCCTCGGGAAGTGGGGATTATACTGCTGCCAAATTACAGTGCCTGGCCACCCATAATGCGGCCACGGATACGGCCACGGTAATAATGTTGATATTAACGGCGCGGTAACGTTCCCGTCGACGAAATTATAGGTGTTAGGGGCGTGTTAATTTTTATGCTTATTGATTTTCATATTTTACCACTTACTACGAGGAACCAGGGCGGCGGGGTTGTCACGGTGGTGTAACAGATCCGCCAGCGGAGAACTCGGGACGTTGACTTTCCTCGTTATCAGCTGCAGTAAGTATTTTTGCGGTGAGAACTGGGCTCTAAATGGGCTTAAAGCTAAACTGCGAATGGCTCGAACGGCTGTTTGGAATCGTCGTTAGGTCAGACACAAATACATCTTTACGATTATTGATGTTGGAGTTTTACTACTTAGCGCGATGTTGAATAGAACAGCTGCATTAATAAAAAATTAATCTAAATGCAATCGAATAAACGTAAAATTATTTTTGTTAGTTTTTGTTAATTATTTTTGTAGTATTTTTCATTATTTTTGTTGGAAGAAACGATAACTTCAGAAATCAACGGGAAACTAATGTACTTTTTTACATGTATATATTTTTAAAAATTATTTTTTCTTATAAAAATTTTCTTTGTAATTAAGTTTTACTATAATATAAAAATTTAATATATAAAATTTAATTTAAACAAATTACGAAAATTTTGTAAATGTTTTCTGTGAAGATATTTTGTAAGATTAAAGATTAACTAAAGGAAAAAAGAAGTCAGATAATTTACGAAACTCCATATTTCGTTTTCAAAACTACATATCTTTAACGTGCCGTTGACTTGAAACTTCGTCATTGACTTCGGCGATTTCGAATGAGGTCCATAGAGGTCGAAGGCGAAGCGCGAGCGCCCTCGATGGTCCATCGATGGGTCGTAGGTCGGGGCCCTGGGTCGAAAGGTGATCACGAGGACGCTGATGCCCAATTCCGAGAGATTCCTGGAATCGAGAGATATTTAATATACCATCTGGTAAAGAAATATACAGGGGTTAACCCGCGTTCGCGCGGGAGCGACCGGGACGCGACGCTACCTCGAAGGAGGACGGGATCAGGACTCGAAGAGTGGCTTCAGGAATCAGAGGGGGGGAAAGGGGACGTCGCCGAGAGTTACGGGCCATCCATGTCACGCTCAAATATTTTGGCAAATTTATGCTCAATAAAAATTAACCAGACCCCTTCTCGTTTGGCGGTTTCGGTCCACCAACGCCGCGCCACCCCATCAACCTCCACCACCTTCTTGCGGCCGTTTAACGACAAGGTGGACCTCCGGTAGATTCTCCATCCGTTACACGTTCCTGCACATATTCGTATGTCCGTACATACGTATGTCCGTCTGTCCGTCTGCCACGAGCGTGCAAAAGCGAAGTGATTTACCGCTGGATTTTCTTTCTTTTCTCTCTTTCTCTTTTAGTAGTCTGTCTTCGCTCGTCTTTTTCCTTCCAGCATTATCGCTCGTCGTGTTCTCTCCGTCTCGTGTTTATCGCCACCGAGTGTCTCTTTCGTGCCACACCGGTCAAGAACGGAGACGAGCGATCTTTTTTATTCCGTGTTCGCTTCTTCGCGCCTTCGAGAATCCATGCGGCGGGGGCGCGCGAGCCAGCGGGGCCTTTTTCATTCCGCGCGATGTATACACGCGGGAATGTGTCGCCGGCGTAAATCAGTCAACGTCTCCGGGGATTAGACTTTACGGTACCACCAAGTTCTGGATGACTTCTCGCAATTTCAGGGATGGAGCAAGGTGCGTGAGAACAGCAATTATTATTTCTTTTTCTGAATCTTATGTTATTAAAAACAATATATAAATTTCTCTAACTCTAATTGACTATTCTCTAACTCTAACTCTAATTAACTATTCTCTAACTCTAACTCTAATTGACTATTGTCGGTCATTTTATATAATTAATATAAAATTGTATCATCTACTTAATTAATTAATTAATATATTCGTTTGCTTTGAGTCACTACTTACTATGTCCATTATTTATTTATTCAATTTTCTTTATACCTTTCGAATAGTTCTTTACTTTTTATATAAATGATTCGCACAATGCTCGCTACTTAGAAGCTCGCGGTAGCGAATTAGCATACCAGAGCATGGGGGCTGCGACGTCGTACTTGAAGAAGGCGGCGGTTAAGGTGGTTAAGGACTAACAACTGTGACGCGCCGCGACCGCGGACGCTCGCACAGGGAACCGAGACCGAGTGTGTCGGTTCCGTCTGATTTCACGGGCGCTAATTAGTCCAGGCGCGCTTTGTCACACGTCTAATCGCAAATTTATATGCCGTCCGTGGCACTCGCGGAAGGTCGCGCGGGGGCGTAACGTTGACGTCGAGTGTGCAAATGTTTTTCATTTTAAATCGATCGGAAGTCGCCGCGCCACGTTTCCATATACGCAATACCTGAATCCTGTGAGTGATGAGCTTATTTTTCGTGTAAAACGTGTTACGGCTGCAGCAGAAAATACATTTCTTTGTTATTCTACGCATTTTTTGTTAAGGTAATAAAATAAAGTGCACTATTTACTTTATTACCTTTCTTATTAATTTTTATTACCACTTGTTTCTTTTCTAGTCATCTGTCGTTTATATCTTTTTTTTTTTAAATATTGGATAGAGTGAAAAAATTGGGTAAAGAGATTCTAGTTATAGAGAAATATAAATATTTATTATGTTGAAACATTCAAAATTATTATAAAGACATATAAATAATTATAAAAAGTTTGCTAATGTGCTTTTTTATCTAGTGATCCATATCTTTCTATCTGTCTGATTTTAATTTTGCAAAATTTTGTAAATATGAAACAATGTTATATGATTCCTTATATCATAATATTGTGTTACGTGAGTAACATGTACAATGTTTCCAAAGAGCCGTGGCAAATCTCTATAGAAACCATACGACACCTGCTGATGGGAATATTATCGGTCACTAATAAACAAAAGTGGTGCGCTATGAAACATCGACTTGCGTCACCTGCTTTCCCGAAGCACAACGGCAGTTCCCATAGTCGACCGGAGCAATTTTGGAATCGTACATTGTCATTACCCTCCCTCTAGTCGCGTACGTGAATATCGATGGCTGGTCGCTGGTTAATAATATGTGATACTTGTACCCGTATCGTTACCAACCCCCCAAAGCACCGTCACTTCCTGCCTTGTATTTTCGTGGTTAACCATTGACTTTTCGATTCGCTGTTTACCCCTGAAATAGCAGCGTGTAAAATACATTACTAATTCGAAAATAAAAGAGGTATCTCACGTGAATTTATTCGGAAACACATTGGGAGGAGCACGATGGTTAATCTCAGCGATCCATCCGGCATTCGACGCGAAACGCCCGTGTTCTCACGTAACGGCATAAATCTCCGTGTAAATCTGGGCGCGAAGATTCCCGAAAACGGAGCGGTGTCGTAATCGAAGGCGGATTAAAGAAAGGAGAGGAAGAAGAGAGAAAAACGAGAAGAGGGAAAAAAAGAAGGAATCACCGCCGCCCGATCTCTTCCCCTTTTTTTATCGCGGATGCGGCGCATGTCGGCCAGCTTATCTCCTCCCGAGATCTTCCCGGGCGCATTAATTCACCGGCGGATGCTGGGTCGTGGATCTTCTCCCGACTGGTCCATTCGCCCTCGGACCGGAACGTCTTGATTCCGTGCGCGATCGTAAAGTTAATCGATCCGCTCCATTAAATCGCGCCCGGGAAGGTAATCGCGCCGATACACTTTCCGGCGCGTTGCGACGCCGGGCCCCATTTTCGTCAAATGGCGTCTCGCGTTCGCGATTTGGGGATGGGGGGGGGGGGTAGGAAAGTGGGGCCTCATTGAATCGCGACGATCGAGAGAGCCGGCCTTTATCAAGTCTCGCCGCGGGCGCCTCCGTATCCCGGGGCTCGCTCGCGATGCCCATAAACCTTTAGCGTTATTTACTATGTTAATTGGCGCCCACGTCAAACACAAATTTATGCTAAAAGCCGAGATGTTATCGAGTAGCCGAATGCGTTACAGCGCTGACAGGTCCTGCCTTCCAGTGGCGGATGACCAGGCACTGGCCTGGCGGGATGCTTCGAAACGCACGATAATGCCGATATCTATCTTCGATGTATCGCCGGCCACTTTCTTCCTCCCGCGTTTGTCCCATCGCGAATACGTCGTATTTTTCTATTGCGAGCTTCCTCCTTCATCTTCACTTGAATTTCGTGTGAATTTCAAGTGAGACGTTCGGTGTCATGACCTCCTCGTACTCTGGGAAATAAAATTCTGTGAAATTTCGAAATGAATTATTTGAAAAATAGAGGGAATGTAAAGATTCTTACGTTCACAAAACTTAAATAACAATTTATAAGTTGATAATGTCGAGAAGAAAACAAAAGGCCCCGATATAAGAATTTTTTTTTCAAATCTCTTTGCTTATCGCTCTTTCGTGCATATAAAGTATCCTTTTTTCTTAAAATTTGGAGTGGTTCATCTTCATTGTATCAACAATTTTTTTCTGTGTTCCAGATGACGAAAGTTTGCCAATTTGTTGTTTTATCTTTCGGCAAAAGCATGAATATTGTTCTAGTCACGTACGGGTTTGAAGCGCAGGATTTTATAGTTTGCTCCGGTTACAACATGGATGCCATGTGCTCTCCAGATACGCACGGAAATAATGGGATTTATGTGTTATTTCGCTTTTTCCACTGTTCGACGAATGCAATTTCTGAAGATACCGCAGAATGTTCGCCATACGGGTGGCGATTTTGCTGCGTTTCGAAATACGCGTCCGATGTCGCGTACTTACGAGATTTCACTGCCATCCGTCTCGGCCGCCTCGGCCGGCGTTGCTTCGCAGCAACTATGGGCTTCTTAACGTCCGACAGGTGATTTACACGTGAGGATTTACTGCTCGCAAGATTTTACGAAAGGCTCTGACCCGCACCGAAACCGGCGTGGTGTGTCGCGAGTCCGTGGCGAGACGATACGATCCTTCCAAGAACGAAAAATCATTTTTTACAGCTACGAGCTACGAATGCAATGGCGAGTGGTACTCAGAGATAGTGATTTCAAGGTATTTTCTGCGCGTCACGTGGCGTTGACAGCAATGATATGTTGTAGAAAATATGCGAGTTATGACGAGAAAGGAAGAGTAGAAAAATATTCGATGAGGTAAGAATTTGATTATAACAACTAAAATTTGTATTGAACATACATAATTGGATTTTTGTGAAAAAAATTTGCCGATTAATTTTTGTGTTAAGTGATCTACATGAATTTAACATATATCTTTTTGTTAATTGATTTGAACATAAATAAAATGTAAAATTATTAAAATGATTAAAAAAATTACGTTAAAGTAATACAGTTTGTATTATGTCATTCATTAAATTATTAAAATTTACAGAAAAAAATGTTGATTTTTTAGCAAAAGAGTGGAGATGATTGTGCATTACTTCTATGTTACTTTTATCATGAAAATTCTGATAACATATAATAAATTTTTAATCAAGATTATTTTTTTGTTTAAATATTAACATAATATCAGTATATTATTTAATACATCCATTAATTTAATTATCATCCGATAATGTTAAATTAACACAAAAAGTTGAATGATTCATTTGGGACATGTGATATATGTTAAACTTAATACATATTTTCCAACAGTGTAGAAATAGAAATAAATTTTATAACATATTATATAATATTACAAAAGATATAATAGAATTGGATTGAAAATTAAATTGTTCTTAGACAAATTTTTATTATATAGTACCTCCTCATATAATTGTTTTGATAAAATTCTTTCATTGTTCGAAATACTGGTTTTCTTTTCATATTTTTTATATTTTGGTTATGTGATTATTTCATAAAGCATATTATGCATCTTAACTTTTGCTGATATTTTTGAAAATATTGTAAAAATGTATGTGTCATGATGTATTGCTAAGGATTTCTATGATTAATGATTACGAGCAATGTGATTCGGGAGGTCGTAGGAAAGCTCGCAAAATCCGCTCGCAGCTTCTTCCTCGGTACGAGGAAGCAACGTGGGCGTATTTTTATGCCGTCGCTTTTATTATCGCAATGGGCGCCGTCCGGTGCTACGACCGACGCGATCGCGCTTTTACAAGCGAGATTATTCTCCTTTACGGCCGAATTTCGATTCGCTCCACCAGAGAGAATTCTGGAAAACGCCACCGACGCGAACGACATAAATGTCGATAGTCGGAAGATCGAGGTTTTCAAGCGAATCCTGGCCATCTCGATATCTCTTCAAGATTAAGTTGTTGGTTTCGGGCTGACGTTAAAGAGCCTTATTCACTATATGTCCGATTGTTTAGTAGCATGCGTAATTTTCTGATCTTCACGACGTGTCAGAGCAAAGTTTACATTTGCGCCGGATAATTTTTTTTAAATTTATTTAATCAGTTTAATAAAAATTATTATGCACTCTAAACAAAAGAAAAATATATCGAAAATACGTTATAAGTTATCCAATTTTAAAATTGAATATATTCGAAGAAGCTTGTAAAATAAGTGATTAGTGTAAATTTTATATCAAATTTATTCGGTATGATAATGTTGTAATCTTTGAAAATTTTATTATCGTGTATTTCACGCTATCAAGTCAATGAAACCTCGTTGAGGAAAAAAGGGCGAGAGCACTCGTAAGATTTGCTACAAACGTCGAGCATTTCGACGTCGAATCAGCTCTGTTGCAGAAAGCGAAACGAAGAGCGCATCGGATCGCTGAGGTTTTTCCGCCGTAATTTATGCTCGATAATGAATCTACACTCCGCAGATAGCGCGGGGGTCAGGTGTTAATGTCGGTGCGTGTGTGGTGCAAGAGCGCGGCGCCGCGTGGGACTCGTGGCACATTAGGCCCACCCGCGCTCTCGGCCTCTCGCGAATCAGCGATGCTCAGTCAGTTGCTCTCGAAACACGAAAGAATGATGGATACCCTCTAAATTTTACGTAATGAAACTAATAAAAATGTTGCGAATTTTGATCAGTGTTGTTTTTCAATCGAATAAACTTGGACTCAAGGATAATCCCCGGAAATAATATTTTTTACGATAAAACGCACTTTTTTGTCATGCATTCTGTCCACGAAAACAAATTTGTTTACGAAACTCACGAGCAACGAAGCAATGAATCGTGAGTTACGTGCGCAAGATACACACGTGGGAGAGACAGTTTTGGGAGAACTCGTCCTGCACTTTCTCTCTATCGCGCGTGATTTCCCTGAATTCGACGCATGTCTAACTTTCCTTCGAGTCTCAATTGTCCCATCTTGATTACGTACGTATAACAAGTATCGTGTAAATTTGTGAATGGTTATTTTTAATGATTTATAGCCTTAAGTATGCGATAATAGACAAGAAGGATAAAAATAAAATATATTCTTTGTCTGCAAATTTCTACATTTACATTTAGGTTAAGAAATATGTATAATTTACATATGTGCATTGTATACATAATTCCTATAGGTTGAGAACCGTCCGACAGGCGCGTCCCTTAAACAATGTCTACATTAAGCCTAGTTAGGCGAGAGACGGCGTTTCGCGGCAACAAGACGGGCATAGTGCCGGCAGACACGTCGCCGTCGAGAGTCGTTTAAAGGCATTAAACGCTCGCTCGCACGTGAAGACACACCGGCATTGGCAGTTCGCCGTGGTGTTCATCGGATGTATCCGCGTATACTTGGCAACGTATTCGCGATTCACGGAGTATAAAGTACGTGGTTACGAGCGTCGCACAATCGTGCGACCCCGCGCCGGTCGGAGCCTCTTCGCGTCGTGGCGCGGAGCTATTAAGATATTTGAATAATATTAACATGGGGAATTCGCGGCCGCAAGGGTCGTGGTATCGATAACGGGGAAGGGCCTGCTCGTGCTAGGACTCGTAGGATCCCAGGCGATATCGCGCGAGCGTTTTAGTACTCGGAGCGCCGATAAAATGAACTCACGATGATGATGCTGTTAGCCGTATCGAAGCTGGCACACGAAACGCAACGTACAGGTGTCGTCGATAGGGATTAGACATTTTTGTAGGTAGTAACATTTCTGCTTTGAATTATTCCGCGAGAATTGATGAAGATCGTACGCAAAAATCATACGCGGTTGATAAAATTTCATAGATCATTGTTAAAAAGAAGTCAGACGACGTGAGAATTTTTAATAATGAGACTTGTTAATAATTAAAATTTTTACGTCGCATTTACGTGTAAGGTAGATTAAATCGCGTATTTTCTTGCCTAGCACAATGCCGACAAATTCGAAAATTAAAAGAAAGAAGAACGCACGTTAGATCGTCCAGGAATTAAAGGAAAGTGGCAGTCGAGCAGAGACAGTTAGCGAGCAATATTGCATCCATGACGACGCGAGAGGTGCAGTGCCGCTTGAAAGATGACGTTCTCGTATTTCCGATGTATGCAGGCGGTGAAATAAAGCACGTGCTAAGCTATACCGGTGGCAGTTGATATACGCGGAATTACACTGTGTTTATTGGCTGTAGCTCACGTACCGCGTTTCGCGGTGCTTATCGCGGCCGCGATGCATCTCTCCGTATGGCGCGCCAATGAAATCACACATGGTGACCTCATTCACTGAGTCAATACTTTCGATGTACTCTGCGATCGGCCGGGAGAGGTTCCGCGAACACGAGCATGCGATTCCGTCCCCCGAAGAACGTGTTCGGTAATGTAAACTGTTCCCGCTCACATGTTCGCCCAATGTGAGACCTCGTCAGCTTCAAAAGACAAAACTCTCAGTCGATGTTACATAGCGATTCGACCGGCTAGTTTTTCAAGGTTGAGTTGTCGAAATGCCGAGACGTGCTGTCAGTAGTATAGTGCACTGTTGCAACATGATGTCCTTTAAGGTGGAACGCACATGTGCCTTGCACGTGTAATTTGATGGCTTCGGCTAGCATTAACGCAGGTGCGGTCTGTAAGAAATATTTTAGAACATGTGCAGCATGTGTATGTTGTGGAGATTACAAGAACCTGGATTTGAATGGAGTAAATACGTGAGTTTACGGTGGTTTTGCTGATTAATGATTTAAGTTTAAAATTTTTTCTATGTTTTTTTATATGTAAGAATAATTATGGCATAAATAAATTTATTTCGAATAAAGAAAGATGAAGAGAAGCAAAGCAGAATGGTGATATTCTTTGATCAAATAAGCGTAATCCGTGCCATAAAATTTTAGAAAGTGAAGAAAACAAGAGAAAACCCGTTCGGGCTTAAATGCTTCGTCCTGATCGGATTATATTTAGATTTAGAGAAATATAATCCCATTTCGGCGTGGATCTAAAAATAGAATTCAATCACGTAGAGCGCTTAATAGCTGCCTTTCTGCTGAACGCAGCCGTTGTCTCTCGTGAAAGAATAACATCACGAAGCATCGTGCATGTGATCCAAATGTTCCGGTTCATTAATGCAGGTGCAGGTACGTGACGTTGTGCGTGTTTAAATAACATGTGTGTGTGTCATGTGTCTCGCAGGTATTGACGGAGGTGCAGGTAAGGGAGAGTCCCGAAAACGCATGTGATGGGGCATGCCTCCGGGGTTCTAGCGTTCAGAATACGTAGCACCAAGGACGCGTCGAAGGTGATCATGCCGCATATGTCGGGTGGTTACCATGGCGAGGAGGAAATGAAGAAAAAAAAAAAAGGGTAAAGAGAAAAAGGCAACGGCAGCGAAGTTAAGACGGAGTTAAGGTACGCGGATGAGAAACTTAACGGCCCTGCGCGCGCGCGCGCGCCTATATCTTGTTTCGATAATATCCGCGAGAACAATTTCTTATCCTACATCTTTAATCTTAACGTCTCTGTCCGCGCGCGGGTCGTGTATCAAATTGCGCCGCGCGATTATCGCCGCCGCCGCCGCCGCCGCCGCCGCCGCCGCCGCCGCGACGCTGGCCCGTGTATAATTTTACAACGCCGGCGATTTGCTTAGGATTTGAATAATCGCGTCGTGTTTCCACCACGCTGTTACTGATCGCGGCGATTATTGTCATTATGATAACCGCGCGGGTCTCAGCCGATTTAAGCTTCTCGTCCTGAAAC